TGTGGTAAGTTATATTGTTAAGAACCCCTGAATATTATTTTATAATTGAGTAGAGTATAGAATACATGGTCGTCCGACTGTCGTCGTACACAGGAATGTGTTTTAGGGCAACCATGGGCAAAGGACTCCCACTGTAGGTACCCTACAGTCAGTCGTGGTTTAGTATGCGCTAGTTACACTCATTCTATATCATTCTAAATCATTCTATATCATTCTATTTTATTGTTCTATTCATTTGTATTAGTATTAATAAATAACGTGTATTGTATTATTAACTGTGTCAATCAAATTATATATTTTACATTTTATTGAAAAGTGAGTGTTTTCGTTTTCTTATTAAATTTAATTCCTTTACCACGTGGGCCTTTATTTCAATATTTAAAATGGTGCATTTTATATATTTCTCAACATTGTATACATTGAAATACTATCTCTTAAAAAACTGTTGATTTTTAATGAAAATCCCTTTATTGTGCTACTCAATAATTTAAATTTATCAAACATTTTAAGTTAAAAAGAATTGCATCTATTTGAATAAGAATTATATTTCAATACTTCAAATTTTAAATAAATGAAAAGTATTAAATTTAAGGTTTTCACCGTTTAACAATTAACAGGGTTTTACATTAAACAAGATTTTCATCCGACTCATTTTTGTAATTATTTATAACTTTTATACTATTAAATCAACAATATTTTTATACAAATCAACCAATAAAGGGCACATTTTAATCTATGAGGGACAGGCTTACATGTAACCTAAGTTAATTTTAAGATATAAATAAAACTATTCACTGTAATTTCCCTTAAACAAAAAACAAATCTATATACCCAGGTTGTCTAAAATACCCAATATCCGAAACAATATTATTTTATAACTTAAATAATATCAAAGATAAAATATTTCTTTAAAAATATCATGTCAAGTTTACTTCACTATATCAAATAGTTACAATAAATAGTTTTAGTGCATATAAGAGAACAGCATTTGATTTTTGTATGACAAGAGAAATGTCCGCAAATTTTAGTTTTTGTGGCAACACCACCAAACAAGCTTTTAATAAGCTTTACATTTTTTAGGTACTTTGTGGTATGAACATCAAACTGTAATAAAAATGCAAATTGAATTTGTTAATTTATTGATAGCGCGTTTGTAAATCGAACTAAGTCTGGAAGACTAATTTTGAAACAACAAAAAAAAAAAAATAACTTTTTTAATTTATACTACATTTTTCATAGAAAAATTTACTTGAATGATTTTGGGTGTCGTGTGTACATATCACGCTATGTTAGTTAAAATGCTGTCAGTCAATAAGCCATAATGTTTCAAACAATATGAATATTCTTGGTGTAAATCCCAAACATTTTTACTCCTTTTTATTGCAGTGAAAAAATACTGGTTATATCATAGTATAATTAGTATTTTTATTCTTTTCTAAATAGCAGTTAAAAAATCATTGGATAAAAAGAAATGAAGATGATGCTACAACCTGTATACAGGAGCGATCCTAGTAGTAAATTTTAGGGGGGTGTGAATTGAATTTTGCCGACAAAGTACTTTCATAGGTACAAAATTCTACAATTTATTCTAAAAATTCAGACTTATGATTTTAATAAACTTTGGAGGATATGACAACCCCACACTCTTTTGGTGTCAAAAGAAAAAAATTAAAAAAGTCAATTGTTACGAACAATGGGAAACTTTTTCCTGAAATTTTGAACACTTGTATATTCTAACAAATATATTTACTAGTTATTATATGTACTAATGTTTGTTTATTTTTTAGATGCTATGTCTGGCCAAATCATAATACCTGAACATGAAATAACATTTAACAAAATAATAGATAAAATTTTTAACCATTCTAGCAATAATAAAGCATCACAACAATAAAATCCTATTGTTTTTTTGTTATTCAATTACTATTCATTTTTTTGTAAATGGTTTTTTAAATTTATTTACTTAGATTGTTTCACTGTTTTTTTTATTAATAAGGTATAACAAAATATAGCATTTTAGGAATCAAAATAAAAACAGTAAAAAAAAAAAACATGGCAATCTTATGCCATCTTATTGGATGCTACTTATGTGTATTACTCCTTCTGTTGTACATATGACAATGATTTTCTTTTATTCCATTTCATGGAAATTAAATTAAAATTACTAATTGTTTTTATATCCACAGTAATATTTTTTGTTATATCAACTATTGCAATTTCACAATTTTCTGTACCAATATTAACTATATATTCCTTATCTAAATTCTATAACACCTTAATGACTAACTTATTATGTTAAAATATTTTTATTGGATTTTTTTGATAAATATTGTACAACAATAAATCAAACTGAGTTATAGTAAATCAACTGCTGACATTACTAACATCATTATTTTTATTTAAAATTATCTATTGTTATTAATTTATATTAATTATAATCAAATTGTATAAATGGATTGTTTTCTTATTATCATTTAATATAAAATAAACCTAAAATTCGAAGGTTAACTATTTTACTTTACATATACATGTATATATATATGTATATAATATATTTTATTTTATTTTATACATTGTGTATATAGTAATAAAATTTATTATTTTAAAATTATAAAATGTTCGAGTATTTACAAAAACTATACATTTAATTTTAAATACCGTAAATGCTAAAAAACCGTCGTAGAGCTTGCTTTTATTGAACTAATGAACAATTATTGAACTGTTATCGAGTGTTTTATAGTTGAACCGAGAAAGGGTCTTTGAACTCTTACTGCACTTTTGTAGAACTCGGTTCACCCCATGTTAAAATCCGTATTCAATTCTCATTTTGAACCGTGCTGCGAACGGGTTTTGAACTGAGTTTGTCGCTGTCCGGCTTACTGCTTGAAGTAAAGTTTTTCTTTGTTTACCTACCTACTCTCGTCCTCGACATTTCAGTGTTCTTGTGTCTTACTCTTCGTGTGCACCTCATACTCGGCTACTCCGTTCTCTCTTTGAAGTACTTGTATCTTTCACTTCGTCTGCACCTCATACCAGGGTGTTACCCTTATTCCCTTCCTATAACAACGGCCTTTCGACACCCACAACTAACCCGGAGTGTCAGCCAAACACGGTAACTGCTGTATGATTACACGCACGTGAATACCCAGTTAGCAGACTCAACATCATTGTCATATACACATCTTCGTCCACTTTACTTTGATTTGTGTTACGACATATGCAAATAAATGATACTAATTGAGAATAACCGTGGTTTTTTTTTTTTACGTTTTATCGTTATATGAAGTTGATAAGGGTGTAGTGGTGTGTCGTAAATACAATGACAGTAAACGATACAGTTTGTTTTTCTTAAAAACAGGATTTACGTCACGTCGGAAAATGTCATAAAAAACCAATTAGCTACCCGTATTTGTGAGCCCTCAAATATTATACATGTTTATTAACTCGAAAATTTGAAACTAAGGTTTTATATCTAATAAACGAATAAAAGTTATATTAAAAATTCAAATGCCATTTATTATTAAAATAAAAACCTAAAAATTTTATTAAAATCAAAATATGTGTTCCTATTTGAAAAAATATATTTGACACCCTTACATCCCTTATGCAATAGTGGGCATTAACTAGTTAAAAAGTTAAACAGCTAATTTTTTTTTAACTTTTTAACTTATCTAGTTAACTATTTTTCTAATTATAGAGGCATACAGCTTATGAGTCATGGTATGAAAATTTGGAAAAAGGTAATAGATAAGAGAATAAGAAATGAGACATTGGTATCTAAAAACCAGTTTGGATCTATGCTTGGTAAGTGAACAATGGAGCCATTATTTTGTGTGAAGTATCTAATAGATAAGTTTGGGAAAAGAAGAATAAGCTATGTATGGTATTTATAGATTTGGAGAAAGCGTATGATAGAGTACCGAGAAGTTTTTAAGAGCACAATAATGATAAAAGGAGTCCCGAAAAGGTACATTAATATAATACAGAATATGAATGATGGCACTTGTACCAGGGTAAAAAGTGTAGGAGGAATAACAGAAGGTTTTAGGGTAAGAGTGCACCAAGGTTCTTTTCAAGCCCTTACTTATTTTCTATAGAATTGGATGAAATTAATAGAGAAATACAAGGAGAGGTGCCGTGGTGCATAATGTTCGCTGACGATATAGTGTTGATATGATAGAATAGGGTAAAAATAAATCAAAAGATAAAGTTGTGGAGATCAGTTATTAAAGATAAGGGATTAAGAATAAGTAGAAGTAACACCGAGTATATAGAGTACGAGTTTGACAAAGGAGAACACGAGGTAAGTGAATGAGTAGGTCAATGACTATAGGCGAGGATGTGATTGGAGAGGTGGAGAGTTTTAAGTATTTAGGATTAGTTGTGCAAAATAGCACTGGTATTGACGACGATGTAATACACAGAATTTAGTACAGGTGATTGAAGTGGAGAGAAGCGTCTGGTGTGTATGTGATAATATAATTCAAATAAGGATGAAAGGTAAGTTCTATAAGACTGTAGTGAGATCAGCAATGATGTATGTTTCATAGTGATGGGCAGTTGACAAGAAAGCAGAACAGAGATGAGAATGCTTAGATGGATGAGCGGAGTAACTAGAGAAAATAGGATAAGGAACAAACATATAAGAGAGAGTTTTGGTGTAACGTTAATCGTGGATAAGATAAGAGAAAATAGACTTGGATGGTTTGAATATGTTCAGAGAATAATGAACTGTTAATTTATCGACATTGATCATTCTTAACTTAATTTAACTTTAGTTAATTAACACATCCTACTTTTTGCTGCAATATAATCAAATATAATGTTATTTTCGTCAAAAAATTATAAAATATTGTTATTTCAAAAGAAACAAGGAAATTATTATAGTAATTTAATTGTGAGGTGCATATTCAGCATTTGAAAATATTTTAATAAAATTATTTTTTATAGCTTTGCAAACATGCAAAACTCTAAGTGAACATTATTTTTCTTCAGCAGAGTCATGCAGATATTAAAGTATCTGCATGACTCTGCTGAAGTAATATTTATAATTAAGTATGAAATTCATACTTTGGTAGATTATTATTTCGAATAACTTTAGAAACACTTTTTGAATAATAATAAAAAATCTAAAAATGTATTTACATTTTATTTATTAAATATAATAATTTATTTTGCCGCAAAAAAACAAAGTGGATATAAAAATATTTTAAATACTTCTATTTTGTATTATAAAATTCTTTATTTTTTTTTTGCAAAACAATACTAATAATTAAAAATAATTTATAACATAATTATCATGTTATAAATTACAAAAACACCGAATACTTATTATGTAAAAAACTAATTTCAAAGTATTTATTCTAAATTTAGAATCCATCAAAGTCTTTTAGTATTGAAGACTATATAAATTGCTTTATTTAGATTCAAGCATTTAATTAATTTCTATTTTCACTACACGTTGAAAATTTCAAATAAAAATCCATTTTAATTATGAAATAATTACTGTTTTTCTATATAATAATTACTGCATTTGAATATGCTATATTTAAAAATATTGAACCCTTAAATGCATATGGTAGCAATCGTACAATTTTCAGTAATATCATAATAAGTAAGATAATTTTACGTAGACTCAGTAAATTGATAATATAGCATTTTGGATAAATTTTAGATTATAAGTCAATAAAATAAGAAATATAAGATAAATAGAATTTATTAATAATGTACGTCGTCATTCAAATAAAAAAATTAGTTTTAGTAATTTTAGCAACTAATGACAGAATAATTTTTTTTAACACGAAATAAATAGTAGTGATTTAATGTTGATAAAATACATTTTATTTGTTAAGAATTTACATGAGTCATATAAGCAATTAATCATGAAATATGAAGATTGTATTTGTGCAATTATATGTGGTTCAAGTTTTTATTTAAAATACCTATTTATTTAAATTTGCTGTTTGCATGAAATTTATAAAAATGGACAAATATAAACAAGAAAAAATATTATTTTACTTTTAAAAGTAAAAAGGAGTAACCTTTTTTTTTAATCACTTTTAAATTTAATTTTAATTTAAAGTAAAGTTAACATCTAATTAAGTTATAAAAAATGGTGGTATTAAAACTTATTTAACTTAAAAAATATAGCTATCGAAGAAAGTTTCCAATTCATAGCCTTTTACGGTTTAGATTTAATTAATTCGCATTTACAATAGGACAAAATTAAATTAAATATATTATTTGAATTATTTAATAAAGAATCTATTAAAATTCTTATATGCTATCCATATTGTGAACAGGTCATTCCATGTGAAATCTACAAATGTGTGTGCTTGTATAGTTTAAAAATGTATGAAATTTATATCATAGACTACTTAAAGGTCATTGAGAACAAAAATAATATATATATTTTTTTTTATTGTTTTTTACCAGATAATGAATTTTTTATAATTAAAAACATGAAAAAACAGCCTATGTTCTAGAGCCTATAACTTCACATCCAAATAAGCTATCACTGTGGAAATATCACTGTTTTACTCATATTAAATAGTTTTTTAATTAAAATTTTTTTTTCTTTTCAGAAACTTTTAGTTATGTTATAATATTTCATCTAACGCATCAATAATTTCTTGAATGTGACATGACACATTATTGCTTTAATACTATTACTACTTTACTACTTTTAATACTAAAAGTCATACCCATTCGGCGGCGGCCTTGTCACGGGAGACACACCGATGACAACCGATTGTCATATTAATAGGTGGATGGCTGATATCGTGAGAAACACGAGCACACGCCAGCCTAGAGCGTAGCGCGGTGCCTTGTCAATGTCAAATAAACAAAAAATCAACTGCTAAACCAGCAGGTATTCTGCAACCTAATTCTTTATATATTATAAACCATACTAATTATAGTTTTTAAATTTAGTATGAAATTGTGAGGCCAGCTATGATGTATGGTTCATAGTGTTGGGCGGTTGAT